AGCTCACATATATTAAATATATATTAAATAAATATGCATTCCATCTGGTTACTTGAGGATCTTGGAAAAGAGTACATTGATTATGCCTTCATCATCATCAGATTTTTTTTTTTTATTTTTATTTTTTTTATTGTACTTCAGGTGAAGGCTTACAGAACAAATAGTTTCTCATGAAACAGAAGTACACGTTGTTTTATAACATTGGTTAACAACCCCACAACCTATCAACCCTCTAATTTCTCAACCTCGTTTTTTGTTTGGTGAAAATACACATAGCCAAAGATACACCATTTCAAAAATTTCTACACGCACAGTTCAGTGACATTGACTTTGCTCTTCAAATTGTGCTGTTATTCTCACTTAAGATGAAGGCTTACAGAACAAAATAGTTTCTCATTTAACAGTTACTACAAATGTCGCCCTATGACAATGGTTAACAATGTCACAAATCATCATCAGATTTGAGAGTGGATCATGTGGTTGATTACATTAATTTTCCCATTTCTTCACCCTCTCTGTAACCACACCTTTTCCCATGTATGTTTTCAGTTTCTTGCACTAGCGTTGAAGATATTCCAGCTTGACTTTGAGTTTGGCTGTACAAAATGACTTTCAGTTTGACCAATAGAATGAGGTGAAGGTGTGCTAGCTCTAAGACTAGGCTGACTCCAGGAGGAAGAGAGACATGTGGAACAGAGCTGCCTCCCCCAGCTTAAATCACTGGACCTCCCACTAACCCAAAGATGAATGAATGACCCTAGCATGGATCAGAAGAGCTGCTCAGCAGACTCCAGCCTAGACATCCAACCCCCAGCCAATTGATAGACACATGAGTTTATTTTTGTATGCCACTGAGATTTGTGGTGGTTTGTTACATAGCATCATTGTAGTGATAGCTAACTGATACAGGTCAGGAACAGGATTCTTAAGTGAGAAAACAGGCAAAAGATACATGGCCTTTTTAAAGACTTATTTCAGTGCCAATTGTATTAATGCCAGTTTCTGCCTAGGCAGTTTCTGTTTATGGAGTAAACTGCCATAATTTTTTGCTTGCTAATAAGTGCATATTTCTCTAGGCAAGCAAATAACTGATTACACATTTTCATCATAGCATCTGGGGTCACAGTGTCATTGTCACACTACTGTCCTCATGCTTATCTGTATTTAATACTATTTCTGCAGTTTTCCCAGGACTTAAGGAATGCACAACAGGCACATCATTATCAGTGTTCAGCACTACTTCAATGTTGACTTTTCTAATTATATTTTTGCCTGAAAATTTTTTTGCATAAGTCAAGCATTCTGTTACCTCCGAAGTAACATGAAGTCTTTTAGAGTTTTGATCTGCAGGTTCATTTTCTCTTCCTCCCTCACCCTCTACTACTGGATTACCCTTGGTTCATGACACACTTTCATCATTAGTCCATGGCCCCCTTTAAAAATGTTTATTCTCTTAAGAATGGGTCATATTTTCCTGTTGCTTTGTGTGTCGAGTAATTTTTAACTGTATCCTCAACATTGTGGATCATATATATTATAGAGATTTTAGATTCTTTTATGTTCCTTCCAAGAGTATTATTTTTAACCAGACATTTAACTTCACTGAACTAAAAGTACAAACTCACTCTGCCTTGCCTACCGTGAGCAGGAGCTCAAATTAAAAAAAATTTTTTTTTTTTTTTTTAGCCTCGGCTAAATTGTGTCCCCTGTCCATGTATGGCTCAGAGACCAGCCAAAGATTTGGCAGAGTTCGTACACAAGATTTGGAACTACTCTTCTCTGGCTTTCTTCTTTATGGGGTTTTCTTCCCAGAAAACCGCTTTCTAGTGTGTGGGTTATCTTCGAACTCTCTGGTTCTTCATACCATAAAAACTACAGGTTCTCTTAGAGTTTTAGCCACCTTATAGGCACAGTCTTGAGCTGCCCTTAGACTAAAAGCCACAGGACTAGAAAGCTTCTCAAGTACTTTGTCTTTTCCAAGTGTTGACCCTTTCTCAGTGTCTGTCTGCTTTTGGTTGCTCTTATATTTTGTCCAAGGTTAACTTTTTCTGGTGGAGAGTTGTACTGATAGGCACTGTTTTCTTAATTAAAACAGATTTATCAATCTTTTATTTTGTAGTTAATGTTTTATGCCTTGTTTAGGAAATAGTTTCCAATGTCAGTGTCTAAAAGATACCTATATGGTATACTAAGTGTTTTAAATTTTTCTTTTGGATAAGTAATCTATTTAGAGGTGATTTTGGAATTCAGTGTAAGGTAGAGACATTTCAACTTCTTCCATATGGATAAACATTATTCCCAGCTCTGTTTAGTGAACAGTCTCTCCTTTCGCCAGTGATCTGACATGCTACCTGTTACATACTCACAGGTTTTGGGCTATTTTAATCCATTGGTCAGTTTGTCTCTGCACTAATATCACACTGTCCGTAATCACTATAGATTCATAAGTTGATATTGATAGGGCAAGTCTTATTCAGAAGTGTCTTGTCTATACTTGTCCCTGTTCTCATCCAATTATATTTTAGAAATATCAAATTTCATAAAAAACCCTTTTGAGGTTTTGACTGGAATTGTATTGAACCAGTAGCTTACTCTTTACAAGATAGTTTCAATTATATTTTAATAAAACCTTATAATTTTTCCTGTACAGGTCATAGATATTGTTAGATTTTATTCCTGCTTAATATTATCTGATAATATTGTAAGTGGTATTGTCTCCATTACATTTGCTAGTTTTTTCTTTTTCTTGTAAAGATATGCAACTTTCTTTTGTATATTAATCTTCTATCTAGCCACCTTGCTAGCTTTTGCTGTTGTTTCTACAGGTCAATTATTTGTATAATGACTCTCATTTTGGCTGTGTCTGATGTTTCTTCATGATTAGATTTAGGTTATGCATTTTTTAGGGAGGAGTACAACAGCAGCGATGTATTCTTAAATGAGACACAAGATGTTTGTTTATCCCATTATTGGTAATGTAATATTTATTTTTATATTTTATTTATAATATCCTGTGTGGAAATACTTTGAGACTATGGAAGTATCATGTTTCTCATGAAACTTTCATTACTGTCTTGTCTAAATCAGTTATTGCTGTGATGGTTGTCAAATGGTGATTTTCTAACATCATCATTTCTTCATTTATTGTGTTTCTACTGAAATAAAGAATTTTTATTCCCCCTCCTCTATTTATTTAATCATCATGTATTTATATCAAAATGGACTCATGATTATTATTTTATTCAATGGGTTATACTGTTACTACGAGTATTTCTTTGGTGCACAAATTGTCGCAGAGTTGCAAAATGGGAGGCTTATCAAGCTGGATCCTGTGCCCCTTTGTCATGTCCCCATCATTCTTTGAGCATGTCCTCATTTTATGGCACACCAAGATGTTCCAAGCCCATCTTGTCCTTTCCTTACCCCTGTCCAGGAATCAACCAGTTCTCCAAGAAGCCCTGGTTCCTTTCCATGGAGAATGTGTGCTCATTATTACTGATATGTCGTTGCTGCTTGTCCATCTCAGCAAAGAGAGCTGGGAAATATCTTTATTATCCACTGATTTAGAAAATAATATTGGAGTTATTATTCCCTGTCCTTGAGCACAGAGAATGTGACCCAGCTGGAGCTGGGCTCACAAGGGCTCACAAGGACACATCAACTGGGCCCTGAGGTATAAAGACAATAGCTAAAATAATCTTGGAGAATATCTTTTAGGGAACCTTTTACATAAGCCATTCAAACTGAATACAAAAGACTTCATTCTTTTTTTTTTTCTGAAAAATGTTTTATTTACCTTTTTTTTTCTTTCCTTTTTCTTATCTTTTTCTATTAGCATTTAGTGAATAGAAATTTGTTGGCCCAGTGAAGACCCTCCTGACTGTCCTTACTAAAACCTGTACCAATGATTGTCAAGAAAGACAATTCAAAATGTAGGATCACAGTTTCTAGCCTATCTGAAAAGGTAAAGCTTTCTGACCATTTGCAATGTTAATATATACTGATGACTCAGTAATGGTCTCTGGACTCTGGCAGACATGGCTGTGGCAGCATGCTTTTCCGTTTTCCCATTCTTGCCTATTGTGTAATATTCTTTGGACTTGGACAGACATGGCTCTAGCAGCATGCTTGTCCGTTTTCCCACTTTTATCTGTTCTGTGATATTTCCTTGGATTTGGGCAGACATTTTAGCTCTGGCAGCATGCTTGTCCGCTTCCCAATTTTGCCCCTTTGAATATATGCCGAATAAAACTTTAGGTTTACTAAACCTTGTGATGTTTTTCCCCTACACCACCACCCATCCATCTCATGAGTTCACAGCAGTACGTTTAATCTCAAGCCAACACCACAGGGTTTAGACTTTCTCGTTTCCGTATTTGTAACTCCCTTCTCCATCAGAAGCTTGGCTCCCATTATCCTCAAAATATATATTTATTTGCTCAATCCCATACCACTGAGAAAAACCTACTAACGAGAGTTCAATATAGTTCTTTTTCAATCTTTAGTATGAACGCAAATGATCAACATACTTCTTCAGACACCACCCGCCACGGCACCCAATACCGCCCAGTCGGTGATACTGTTCATGCCTTCTCATGTTAAAACCAAAATTCCAGCAACCACTTCAAGAGAAAGGGGGAGGGGAAAAACAACCCCAAAGCGACAGCCTGGTAGGTCACTCCCGCCGCTCCAAAGCCACAGGGACGCCGCACACTCCAAAGGTAAGCGGGAAAGCCCTGGAGGCCTGTTGGGTGAGGAGGGGGTACTTCAAATCACGCGAAGTGAAAAGGCTACACCTGCCTGAACAACAAACTCCCTCCCTTTGACCAACTCGCCCCTCTTTCCTGTCCGCCAGTCCAGCAAGGGTCGACCACTCGGTTTGTTGCTTCATCCAAGCCAACGTCGAAAAACGGCTCCAGTTCCCGCGCGCACCGCAGCGCGCGTGCACAAAGGCCTCAGCGGCAGGCCTAGTTGCTGGCAGGGCTCATCCTCTTCCACTGGTTTACTCACTGCCGGCAGGATTTGAACCCCGTTTCTGAAGCTGGCTATCACGCGCATGCGTGTCTACGGCTGCTGGCTTCCAACGTTCTCCGGTTTTCTTCCCGCAGGGGAGAGAGGCGGCTAGCCTTGTGTTTGAAGCTGGGCGGACCGGAAGTTGCTCTGCTTCCTCACCTCAACTCTGCACTGGTGGAAACTCAGGCACTGGAAAAGACGATCCCGGCTGGCCTGGGCTGGAGGCGGCGGAATGGAGGCCGGGACCGAGGACCCGGGACTGACTCGCCGCCCGACTTTGGCCTCTTCCTGGGATGCGCCGTGCGGGGCCCTGACACAGAGCCTCTTTCTCAGCCGGGGAGGTCTCGGCGCCGGGGAATTCGACTGGGAGGAGCTGCTGGAGCCGCCTGCTCCCGGGTGTGTCAGGCCGGCCGGGACTGGGGCTGCTGCGCTCGGTGACAGCCGCGCTCCGGAGGGACCGTGCGGGGAAGCGGGTGGTGAGCGGCGAGGGTCTGGGCCCGGAGCGGAG